GTTAGGGCTAAGAGGCAAATAATAAATAGTATATGAAGATACTAAGTATTATATCTTTATTGAGAATTATATGAAGACAAGACTGCTTTGCTGGAAGGGCAAAAAGGCAGTGTATTTATAGATAATTTACATGTATAAATTATTAGAATAAAAATAAGTTAACTAACTAAAATAACTATAAATAGTAATAATATATAATACATATAATAGAAATAATATAAATAGTATAAATGAAATATATAATAGATATAAGAAAAATAGTAGAAATAATAGATCTAGTATATATGATAGATCTAGTAAAAAGTATAGAAATAGTAGAAATAGTAGATAGAGTAGAAATCATTGATTTTGGGAGTAGTTGTGATTATCTAATCAGAATTAAGTCATATATTATATATGAATTAATATTCATAAAACTTTAATGATCTCAGGATTCTGTAATCCAAATCATATGATCTTGTGCTCATTAGAACTGCTTGATTCCAATAGTATAAGTTTTATTAAGATTGAAGTAGTGGTTCAAAAGTTATTAGCAAAAATGTAAATTTTATTATTATAACAACATATATCAGATGGTAAATTTGCATTTATAAAAAGAATAACCCAACAATCATCTCACTTTTGGTAGAAGATTTGATATCTGTTAGTAGATACTATTAGAGCAATATCTTAATAATCTGAAAAAAGCTCAAAAGAAACTAAGAATTTATATTGAAGACTATTAAAAATATTAGCTATTTGTCATCAATTAAATATATATGTATTAAAGTATAATTATATTAGTAACTAAAAGTTTCAGCTTGAGTTTTGTCTTTATATTACATTTGAAATAAACTTATAAGTAACTAATAGACAGTACTTTTTCTAGATATTCTTGATGTTTTGTCAAAATTATAGTGAGACTCATTACATTCTGGACAATAATTCATATTACTAAACTCATTTGTAAATACTACACATAAATTAATACAACAATTTACAAATATTGGCTTAAAAGATACAAGATTTCTAAGAAGCTTTTGTAATTTGTAAAGTATGATTTCAAAAATTTCTAAAGCTTTAAGAATTTCATCAAATACTGCATTTGAGATATTATATTTGTTTTTAATTTGAAAAAGTAGCAAACTCTTAAATAAATTTTTTTTTATTTTATTAAGGCTACTTCCTTGGCTGATTAGATTTTATTAGTTTGTTATTATGGAACTATAATATGAATAGTTTCCTAAGATTTTATAGTTATATGATGAGTATACAACAAGCCAAATGTACAACTTTAGTCATTGTCTAATTTAAGTAGTTCGCCATACAAATAATTGACTATCTGTTAGTTTTACACTATGCTGCTATACTTGCAACCTGCCTATGAGTTACCTATTTAAACACTATGATCATTAACCTTTCCTTTTATTCCAAACTAACATTACTACTATAGCCAACTGCTTAAGCCAGTTGGCTCATCTGAAGATCTATTTACTGCACAGCTTAAATCTTCTCAAGATATATATATCTAACATATTATAAGCTACAAAGCTCTAGTTAACCTCAGAAGTAAACCTACTAGAGTAGTTCATACCCATTTTATAGATTTATCTAGCTTAGACCCTTGTAGATATTTATACAACTCTAGTTCCTACTGTAGCTCTCTACTAGTTTTTTGTATCTATTTTCTCAGATATTTTAAGAGTCAGATTCTTCTAATCTAGTTAGCCACCAAGCTAAGTTAGTATTACTGATTCTATCTGTAGAACAGATTTATATATACCTAACTTGATCTGCATCTTTTGACAATAGTTTCTTTTCTGAATTAAATATTTCTAGTATAACCATTAAAAGCTATACTACTTCACTAACTTGGGATTTCTACTATGCAGATCTCCTGCTTATAGATCCTATTAAGATTTATTCATATAACATTACACTCTTCAAACATTATATCATACTTCTAATATCTGAATAATATTAATATAACATAATTTACAGGGTTATAACTCTATAAACAGATAGAGTTTATCATAAGTTAGATACAAAGGTCTGAGTAATTATTCAAATTTATTGACAGTAAGATTTGAACTCCAGACCTCTTGTATAGTAGTCTGGCAACCTAACTACTACACTAAGATTATCAGACCTCCCTTAAATAAATTTTCTAAAATAATATTTAATATATAATATAATAATATTAAAAATTTATATACTTTTAGCTTACCAAAATCTAGATTTTTATTAAATTCTTTATCACTTTACTTACTATACTCCTTGTTATATCTATACTCTTTATTATATTTCTTATCATTATTCATATTATATCTCTTATTATATCCCTCATAATATGGTACTACTCACTTCACCAACAGTCATTTCACCAAAAGTTCATTTAGCTAATATCATATAGAGTTAGGATTAGAGTTTTATTAGTTTTAGGTATATATTTTTAGTAAATTGTCATTTGGAGTAATGTCAGCTAAATGAGCTGTTAATAAAATGATTGTTAGTGAAATGATACGAATTCTTATAATATCCCTTATTATACTCTTTGTTATCTTCTTTATTATACTCATTATATCTATTATTATACCCCTTATTATTGTCTTCCTCATTATATATATTGTTATGCCCTTATTATTGTTTTCCTCATTATATTCATCATTATACTTCTTATTATTTTTATTATAATACTCCTCATTATATTCATCATTATACTCCTCATTATCAAATATTTGATTATATTCATCATCTGATTCTATACTGATATAGCTTTAATTTTTGTTATTCTGACTAGTATTTAATAATATTATTGAAATAGCAAATGATGTTAATGCAACTGCTGTAACTAGATGTTACTATTGAACTAGAATATATGCTGAATTAGGTCAGGTTTTTTTTTGTTTTGATAAATATCTTGCACAGGTGGATCTACTAACTAATTTGCCTTGACTATTTGACTCTTGTAGATACTAGACATATGTACAAAGAACTACTTCTTTTTTATCCATCTTATATTATTAGAAATAATTTACTATATTTGAAGGAAAATATGAAAAAATTTACTTTTATATTACTTTTGATCATAATGATATAAATAGCAAATAAGCTAAATAACAAGGTGAAACCTGTGTAGCTAGCTAGTAAAATCTGCACTGATTAGCTATATTAGATGAAATCTAAGATTTCAGATTTCACTTAATACAGCCAATTAACGTAGATTTTACTAGCTAGCTATATGAGTTGTAATAAAATTTATCTTTTAAGTTTTCTAATCACCTTTATAAACATGAGAAAAAAAAAAATAAGTAAAAAAATATATATATTTTTACCTTTTAATATTAGAAATACCTATAATAATGCTTCAATTAATATTTATACACTTAACTCTGACTAGTATTGTCAGTTTTTTCTTGAATTATTTGATATAGATCTATTCCTAATTAATGTACTAAAATCTAAGCAATGTTATTAATTATATTCTGTACTAATTGCTAATGATCCTTCTCTTACAGAATCACTTTTAGATACATGTAATATAGTGCATAGTATAATTAATGAACAAGTAAAGTTTTTTTTTTTATTCAAGTTTTATCTGATAATCAAATAATAAATAAATTTTTAGTTTTCAAAAGAGTTAGTATTACGTTCAATGAATATAAGAATTATAAGGAAGCTCAAAAAAAAGCTAAAAAGAATATACAATAGCATGAATTTTTAAACCTTAATGGAAAGCAATATCTAAATTTCAGAGTAGGTTATATAGTTGTTATTATAGTTACAATACTTTTATTACTATTAGATTATATATTATTTTATTATTAGAATGACTTGTAAAATCATACAGCTTCTTAATTTTTGCATAGTATATTTTTATCCCACAACTAAAAGGGAGTGCCAAGGAAGTTATAAAAGAGGTAGAACTAAAATTTTTAATATTTATAAAGTTAAAAAAAGCTAAAATTTATATTTATAATAGTTTATTGAAGTGAATTTAATATTTCCTATATCTGAAGCTGACTTTATTCTTTATGAATAGCTTATCTCATATTGTAATAGTATGGGTGTATATTTTAGGTCTGTATTATTTCACTGACAATAATTTTACCAAAAATATAAAACTAACTAAACCCTAACTCTAAATCAGGCTAAAATATTAGTAAATTGATATAGTTGATAAAATAAGTGTCAGTGAAATAAATGCTACCTGTGTATTTTTTTTATAGCTTAATATAAGTATCAATTATATTCTAACTTATAATCATAATAGTTGATTAAGAAAAAAAAAAGTTACTGAAGCAAAGGCAAAAGGGTATATACTACTACTAAAAAAAAAGAATATCAAACCTCCTATTAGAAGATGTAATTGTAATATAAATAATATTAATATAGAAAGTCTCCTTAATTAAAGTAATACAGACAAGACAGATATTATGTGAGATTTTTTGGAGATTGATCAAGAAAAATAAAAAAAAGTTGCTAGAGCAAAGATGCTGCTACTAAAAAAAAAAAAATATCAAACCTAGACATAATAGTAATATAAATAATATCAATATTGAAAGTCAAAGTAATACAGATGAGACTGATAATATATAAGATTCTTTAAATGCTGATCAAAAAAAAGGAAAGAGAGTTGTTGCATTAAAAAAAAAGAATATCAAATCTAGGTATAACAGTAACACAAATAAGATCAATATTGAAAGTCAAAATAATACAGATGAGACTAATAATATGCAAGATTTCTTAAATGTTGATCAAGAAAAAAGAAAGAAAGTTGCTGTATTGAAAAAAAAGAATATCAAATCTAGATGTAATAGTAACACAAATAATATCAATATCGAAAGTTAAAGTAATATAGATAAGACTGATATTGTGAAAAATTTCTTGAATATTGATCAAAAAAAGAGAAAGAGAGTTGCTGTATTAAAAAAAAAGAATGTCAAATCTAAGTATAACAGTAACACAAATAATATCAATATTGAAAGTCAAAGTAATACAGATAATACTGATAATATACAAGAGTTTTTGAATATTAATCAAGAAAAGAGAAAGTGAGTTGCTAAAGCAAAGATACTACTGAAAAAAAAGAACATCAAATCTAGATATAATGGTAATATAAATAATATCAATATTGAAAGTCAAAGTGATATGAATAAGACTGATAATATATAAGATCCTTTGGATAACAATAGTAACAATTTTAAAATACTAATAATAGTAAGCCATACCTTTCTTATAAAAAAGTAGACCAAGTAGATATATAAAAGTATAAGAAGTCATAGTATAGTTTAGAAACTAGATTTGCAAAGAATTTTTTTATTATAATACAAGAAATAGTTTTATAGGTAAGATTTTAAGATATATATAATTTTTTTTAAAAAAATCAAATTTTTACATTACATATAATTCTTCACTCTTATTAGTAATACAAATAACAATTCTATATAATATTTCAATATATTCTACTATATATAATGCAACTATATATTACTACAAGATATACTAATATATGCCAACTAGTGCAATGTACATATATGTATTAGCTTCATTTGTTACAATATGCATACCTGTTATTTTTGACTATGCTATTCCATAAAATATATATGTACTATACATATTATAGAACATGCACTATTCCATGCATTCCTGACACTATCCTGTGCTATACTCTAAACTACCTTTTTTATAAGACTTATACTCTGAAGTTTCTGGTTCCTATGTAGTATTTAGCAAAAAACAAATTTTTTTTACTAAATAAATCTATATATATAAAGCTAAGGTCTAATTAGAAAAAAATTATTTTTAGTAATCTTCAATCAAGACAATATAGATAAAATTGCTAATACTGATATTGAAAATATCATTAGTTAAGATTAATTGATGAAAAATGAGTCAAAAAAAAAATATAACCTCCTATATGATTATATAATACAAATATTAAGGTTATTTTTGTATTTATGATCAAGATATTACAAGTTACTAAAACAAAAATCAGTGTTTTTTTTTAAACAAAAAATAATACGATCTCTTCAGCATCACTAAAGAATGCTTTTCATTCTTCTGTTCAAAAACATGATAATATCAAAAATACTGAACACTTTGCACAAAATTCTGGCACTTTAGATGATATTGGTAAGAATATTAGTAGAATGAGTATTAAGTTTTTTTTTATATTATTATATATTTTATTTATTCATTTATATAGGTGAAAAGAAGAAAAGAGGACAAAAAGCAAATAAATCTTTCTTATATGAAGCAAGAGTTACTAAAAAGACCAAGAATAGTAAAAATTAAAAAATATATTAGAGATATTTTTTATAAACCTTAGATTATATGTGTCTATTATATATATGATATACTAATAATACAAATAAAAGTTTTGGCTTTTATCCATAAATCAATATATATATAACTATTTTAGTTCAGTAAAGTTTTCATATTATATTTATAAGTAATTTTATATATTGTCAGTGTATTATTTCCATAATTTGATAAAATTTTTTTATAATTTCTTCTTTTATTGTTATAAACATTTTAGTAAAGTTTCAGATTATTTTCCATTACATAATAAAAATTTATTTTTATTATTATATAAGCTTTAGTAATAAATCTGTATAATCTCTATTACTTTATTAAAATTATTCTATGAATTTTCTGTAAATATGCTACATTTATGGAAGAAATATGGAAATAGTTATTTAGTAATTTAAATGAAAAAATATGGAATTTATACATGGAAAAATAAAGTTTAATATTTTTTATAGGGTTATAATAAGCTAATTGATCAATTACAGATAATAAACCTTATAATAACTCAAAGCACAAATGTAAAAACATGCTAGTTAGTTAATATTTAATATAATAATTTCTTTAAATTATTTGATATGATTATTCTTTAAGATTATTTAATATAATCATTTCTTTAAAATTATTTAAACTAAAGATTACTTATTATTTTTCGCTATTCTAAAATATTTTATTATCCTAAAATATTTATGACATCCTAAAATATATAAATAATTTTCGCAACCTGAATTATTTTAACCTTTATAAATCATTCACGATTTAGACTATCTAAAATAATTTTTACCATTTTAATTTTCACTATAAGCAAAATAATCACAACTAAGAATAAGCAAAATAATTTATTAAGTAATCAATATATATTTTTTATAGTTTAACTAATAATAAGTAATATTACTAATGTTAAGCAAATTCTTATTTACTAGTATTACATGATAATAACAGTAAGAAATGATTAATTAAAGCTAAGATTAAATAAACATGTAAATTTTCATCGTTGAAAACAGAATTATCATAGAATAACTTATTATTAATATTCAAAAAATTCGATAATATTAAATAATATTAAATAAAAATACATAATAAAATTGCTCTTCTCTAATTACAACTTATCTATAATCATCT